AAGGGCACGAAGAGCGTGCCAGTTCTCGGAATAAAAACCCTCCACAGTGGAAATGAAGCCCGAGCCCGGGACCGAGCGCAGCCAGCACCGCCGCCGAGCATCGCTCGGGCAGGGGAGAACACAGCAAGGTGACGAGATCACTTCTCATCTCACAGGGAAACCAGCTTCGCTTTGGGAAGCGCTGGCAGCTACGAACGGCGACTCTCGCTGCACATCCCAGTGACGCGGGATCTCGCAAACCTTGCCATCACCATTTTCTTCGAGTCCGGTTTTTCAAAGCAAGGCCAGAGGACAGGCACAGGGAATTCCTGCATTCCCCAGTTTTTCAGAGGTATAGGGAGAGTCGCTGCCTGAGGCAAAGTCAAACGCAAAGGTCTCTTGCAGAAGCTCAGCACAGGAGTCAGGACACACTGCTGCTGCTGCTCCCCCTCTTCCTTCAGCTCTGTGCCCACAGCCCTGTTCTGGGACCTTGGGATCAGACTGGTCCCCAGCACCAGGCCAGGGCTGCCAGCGGCATCCCCAGCACCGCCCGCGGCTCTCACCTCTGTAGTGCTCCATCCTGGTGTGGTGGGTGATGCCCTGCGACCGAAAGCTGAGGCTCAGGATGTATCGCGGGTCAGAACTGTCTCGGACCAGGAAGGACCCGTCTGGCTTCCCCTTCAGCTTCATCTCTGCGTCCTCCCAGTTCATCGGTCCCCAGTACCACCCGCACTAGGAAAACAGACAGCCAGAATGTCAGCAGATACTAGCAACAAAGACTCCTATCAGCAACCAAACACAGTACAATCTGCTCTGTTAATCCCCTTTAAATGCCAAAATGGAAGCGTCTGGTTGCATCCACCCAGGAGTACGGATGGTGGGGACTCGCTGCTCCTGGACGAGAGCACAGCATCACATCCCCCACCACCCAGAAGCGGCTAAAGAACAGATGAGACCACGACACCCCTTCCATGGGCAACAAAACGCTGCTCTAGACCCAAAGACCTCACTGGGAGAAAGGCAGGAGGGGTTTTCCAGTCCGATCCTAACCTTATGCTCCCAGGTCGGCAGCAGGGATGATCAGTCCCCAAAAGCAGAGCCCAGACCCGCAGTCTTCTCCTCCTGGCTGCCACCACCCCCCCGCCACGTTGTCGTTACCTTCTCCAGCTCTCGCAAGCTGGCCGCGAAGCAGCTGGCGGCCG